CCTTAACGAAACTGCCACCCTGACACCACTGCCGGCCTGAGTTACAACTGCCTTTTGGAACTCAGGCCACGACAAAGTTGCCCATGCCTGTTTTTTTCTGCCAATTACGAACTCCCATGTGACATAAACGTACTTCCCTCTTATTTTTTTAACGTGCCAGTGGCTGCCTCGGGCAGAGGTTTCAGCTGGGTTTCAATGTGTATTCACTTAGTAGTTCTGTTGAGCTTCAAGTTGGGGGATTCAGTGGATCTTTGTTCTGGTAGGTTAGGACTTAGTTACTTATTTCCGAATTCTCTTCATTGTTTTTTTTTTTTTGTGAGAAGTTATTGCTTTATATTTCAAAACAAAAGTGATCGAGGCTGGGAACCTCACAAGTCTACCCGGTATTGCCAATTTGCCAAGGAAGGAAAAAACCTGCTGGAAACGGGGTCCAGCGTCCCACTGGCAAGACCACTCAGCCTCAAAAGGAAGAAGAACTCCTCAAAATAGCCTTGAAGCACAGAAAAAGGTGGCTGAACTAATTATAGGTGAAACTCTCCACTCCTTCAGCCTATAATGCAATATCCTTGCTGCACAGGAAAACGCCGGCATGTGTCTAGGATCGAAACACTATTGGGTCCTTCGGGACGTCCCTTAAAATTGGAACTATACAGAGAAGATTAGCATGGCCCCTGCACAAGGATGACAGGAAACACTATTGGCAAAGAACAACGAACTATAGTCTGCAAATCTCGAAAAAGCACAAGCCAATTCACGAAAATTATACAGTTTAACCCTAAAATTATTTCCAAAGGCCAACTAAATTCTCAGATACAATTCAAATCTAAATTTCAGACCAAGTACCTAACGAAATTTTAAACTGGGCAGTGGGCATACTAATATTATCAACAGAAAATAAACGATTGAGAACAACCAATCCAAATTCCAAGATCTATCAAACTAGAAAAAAAGAGGAATCTCAAAAAAAAAAAAAAAAAAAAAAAAAAGAAAAAAAAAAAAAAAAAAAAAAAAAAAGCTGGGAGGGAGGAATAGACATTAGGGTTACCCTCTCAACCTCACTATCCAAAACGCTGTAAAGAGCCTTAAAGTTTGTTGCCTAGACGGGTTTGCCACCAGGCACCCAATGGATACAACTCTAGTTTGCTCTTCACGGGGTCTCTCATATCATCCCTACCCTGTGAGTATCACCCCAAACTACTGCAAACATACCAACATACTGCAAACATACCCCAGCACTTAAGAATAACGAAAAGCTGTGAATCTCAATCATACGTGAAAACTCGATACCAAAGCTATAGATAGATGCGAACACAGCCCAGTTAAAGTGACTCTTGATTGTTTTCAACTGGTCTCTGAGCCATTGTTCTCGAAAAAAGAAGTCTTTTCAACTGGTCTCATTGTTCTCAAAAAAAAAGGCTCGTACCCACACCATCTGAAAAGGTTCCCTACCACTTCCATTCTGCAGCAATCCGTATTGCTATCGCTCATACCCCGCCCCGCCCCCCCCTCCCTCCCCCCTTTGTCCGTGATTTGGACTGGCCATGTCGGATAGAACAGTTTTTGCAACAACCAACCCGCTTGTACGTCAGCAACCCCCTCCCCGCCCTCTCTCTCTCTCTCTCTCTCACTCACACACACACACACACACACACACACACACACACACACACACACACACACACACGCACGCACGAACGATGGCGAGGGGACATGTCGTGTCACTACGTCAAGCATGACATGACGAAGAAGAGGACGGGATGGAAAAAAAGGAGAAGGAAGAAGGGACAAAGTGAAAAGATGAGTGAGACCAGATGGAGGAGGAGCAGGAGGAGGATACAGAAGTTGAAGAACACTCCCACTAAATGGAAGGATATCCGGTGCGGATAAGACAACTGTCATCTGCCTTCTAAGCCTTCTTCCTTCCTCGATCAAACTCGGCTGCATAGACCGATGCAATTCCATCATCCTGCTGTGTGACTATCTCCTCTTTTTTTTTCTCTTTTTTTTTTTTCCCAATCCAAATACTCAAGCTTTCAGTCTAGAGCAGGAGGAGGAGGAGGAGGAGGAGATTTTCTTACCTCATAAATGGCTCAGTAAGGCTAATCAATATTGATCCGGTATTCTCCGTTGCGTTCGTGCCATTGCAGCATAGGGATGTGTTGAGTTGTACACCAGTCACACACTGATAGGGCACATACTCCTTATCGTATTTGCTGATGTAGCCGCACGCCAACCTTGAGTGTTCCCCTTTTCCTCCTTTGCAGCTGTCGATGGCCTCTGGGCAACACAAATCAAATCCCCAAAAGTCAGGACGTCTCCCATTCGTTCCCCCTCCCCTCCCCTCCCCTCCCCCCCCACACACAAACAACAATGTCTGCTTCCCATCTGCTATGTAAAGGAAACTTGAAACTTGACCTCCTCCTCCTCTAGACTGAGCCATTAATGTGCAAAATGAGCATGAGGGTATCGCCCACAGTGCCCCACACCACTGTGGAAATGTGAAAAAGACAATTTAAAATGTCGCGGGTGCATCTGGCCATGTTCTAGCTGCAAGTCCATTCTCATTTTGCACATTTTGAGAGTGGTGTGGCGATGCACTGAATAATGATATTCTTTGAAGTGCGGGAGCAGAGAGCAATTGCCCATAATTACTTCTCATTTTAAATTTCTGCTTTTTTGCTTTGAAACTAATGGCCATTTCTTCTCATAGAGTCATATTAGGCTAAATCTTGTTGTGCATCATAACTTGAATGATATTCTTTTACTTACCTTTAGTATGCACCAGTCGCTAGTTTAGAACTTCAGAAATCATGGTGGAAACAACAACAACGACGACGACGACGACGACGACGACAACAGCAACAACAACGACGACGACGACGACAACAGCAACAACAACGACGACGACGACGACAACAGCAACAACAACGACGACGACGACGACAACAGCAACAACAACAACGACGACGACGACAACAGCAACAACCACGACGACGACAACAGCAACAACAACCACAACGACGATGACGACAACAGCAACAACAACCACAACCACGACGACGACAACAGCAACAACAACCACAACCACGACGACAACAACAGCAACAACAACAACAACCACGACGACAACAACCACAACAACAACAACAACCACGACGACAACACAACAACAACCACAACAACAACAACCACCACCACAACAACCACAACAACAACAACAACCACCACAACAACCACCACCACAACAACCACCACCACAACAACAACCACAACAACAACAACAACCACAACAACAACAACAACAACCACAACAACAACCACAACAACCACCACCACAACAACCACAACAACCACCACCACAACAACCACCACCACAACAACCACCACCACAACAACCACAACAACCACCACCACAACAACAACAACAACCACAACAACAACAACAACAACAACGACAACAACAACAACAACAACAACCACAACAACAACAACAACAACAACAACAACCACAACAACCACCACCAC